AAGGGTTGAGGAAACACTGGCCTACATTGTCAGGTGGCAATAATGTTTAAAATCTTCAAATTTCAACAGGAGCCAAGATTGTCTCTCTCCCCACAAGTCCTTACAGATAAACATACACTGCATCCTATTTTCTATGTTGTGCGTGACTATTTATTTGTTTATTGGTTAGGTTTATACTTGCTTTTTTAAGGGGCTCAAGATGGTTTCAGTGATAGAAACGGGCAGGCAGAGCATAGCAGAATGTTTCTTACTGAGTCCAAGAGATCTGCCAAGCAGGTGTTTTTGCAAGCTGCCCTGGAAACTAAAAAATCAACTGAGCTTGCAAATGTTTTCTAGCTATGAAAAGCATCTGTTCTTCTGATTATTTTTACATACAATGAAAGGAGTATATTGCTCACTCATGAAGCTTCTCAGGGATATGAATTACTAAACACATCTGTGAGGCTATTCCAGGAAACACTGTCCTTGCTCCAAATTGGACTTATTTGCCTTTTCAAAGTTTTCACTTAATAACTAAACAGTATGATTTTACTATAATGAAATTACTTTAATGTTTTAATTATTACAATGTATTAACCCACCAGGGGGTAAGGCTTTCATGGTTCTAGCCCTGTAAGGTAGGAGAAGCTTCCAGAACCAACCCTGCCCCTCTGCCCCCCTATATATTTCGAAGGAAGAAACCCTGTTACCACTCACATAATTTACAATGATTAATAATCCTCAATCTGAGCAGATAAGAATCCTGATCTAAAGAATGAGCTTCTAGAAAACGACAGATCTGTGTTCCAGAACTTGCCTTTCCTCTCCCTAAGAAGCTTCTATGCTGAACAGTCTAGCAAAGTCTAATGGTGACCAATTCAGTGGATTTATTATCAAATCCAGCAAAAAGGAGTCAGAAATCATCATGTTTTACAGGAAAAGAAAAACTTGACTAACTAAAATTTATCAGACTTAGCCAAAGTTGTCACAATCTTAAATCTATTAATATATTACAGGATGACCCACAGCAAAATCTACTCTTTAATCCAAGCAGGAGAATGAGAGTAGCTTCCAAGGAGGGGTATTCAAATTGATCAATTAATGCTTAGATGATCTGATCAGGGGTTTTTCAAGGTGAATCCTACATTTCCTATTTAGCAGATCTCTAGGTAATAAGAACATCAACTTGGGATGCTGATTCAGAAACATCTTGGTCTGGGCAGATTTGGACATATCTTTTGTTTACAGCAGGGTTCCTCAACCTCAGCAACTTTAAGATGGGTGGACTTCTTACTGAAGTCCACCCATCTTAAAGTTGCTGAGGTTGAGGAACCCTGGTTTACAGGACAGGGAGAGAATCTGGATCTATCACCAAATCAAACCACAGAAGAAACATTTAGTTCAACAGACCAGTTAGAGAATTCCTTTAACTGCCTTTTCCTACCAGTTATAGCCCAGTTTTCATGGGATGTTCATTCCCATTGCTGGCTGACCTTTGGTCCAAGGCAAAGTTCTGGACATGAGCAAGAGAACAATGGTGGCATTTTGCAAGCACCATCTGAACTTTTTTCTTGGCACTGATTATCCATAATGAGCCCAAGCTGTTGTGAGCATTCTCTGAACACCCCTGAACAGAGACAAGGTTCCTGGTTAATTCTCTACCAAGACAGCATATAGTAGTCAAACTCTGCCATAGTCCTTTAAATGACATTATTTGGGTGGTCTAAAATATTGATTTTTTGAGATATTCATGTTGCACTCAACTTCCTATGTCACTATGATTACTTTCGATGACCAATCATGGAAAGTTAGCTGGCATTATCATCTTCAGCAGGGGCTCAGGGGAGGGGGTGTCAAAAAAATCAAGATGACAGCCAAGGCCACGCAATCAAAGGTCCACCCTTCCCCCCCCCCACATGTGTCATATGTTCAAACATTAAAAAAAATAGGGCTTCGACAGTGCACGTGTAACTGCCATCTTGCCTTTTGGGACACAGACCCCCAAGGACACTAATGACTCCCAGGTTGAATAGGAGGTAGTGGTGTATTGAATACAGTCAAATGAATAACAGAAGTGAAATCTGGAGCATGGTGAGACTTCATAGTTCAGGCCTCTCAACCACCATGCTGACCCAGCAATTAAATAATATTAAGCAAAGATGAGTGAAAAATCACCCCTGGAACATGAGTTCTTACCTGCCATGACAGAGGCAAAAGGCTGCTGAGGGTCAAAAGGACACTTCAGTCTACCAGACTCCACGTTCTGAGCATTAAATCTGAACATAACTTCCTGCATATAAAGAATATATATCCATTAGTCCAGTGCTGCAAGTGGGAGGCAGTCTGGATTCAAAGAGAGTCAGGATAGTGCAGATGTTAAATTGTTGGACTAGAACTGAAAAGACCCAGTTTGGGTCTTTTGATTTGGGCCAGTCACTCAGTCACAGCCCTACCTTCTCTGTTGGGAGAGAAGATTGAAGAAGGGAGTGTTATATACTTCCTCTTGGAGGAAAGGTAGGATAAAGAAGTGAAGCAGAGGTAGAGTAGATTATGAGTTTCAATCTGCTTTGCAGATTTCCATAGCTAATGTACAGTTTATATGCAGGGTTATATTTGTAGAAGTTCAACTCCTAAGAGCCCTTGTTAAAATGTTCTTCACCCTTCCTTGGTTTGGCAGAAAGCTCTACAGATATGGCATTTGCTGTCCCCACTGGACTCCACCTCTCTGGCCTCTCTCTCCTGTCAGCCAGTGCAGTCACTAGCCTTACTTGCGAGGGTGATTTATATATTTTCAGGCTGCCCTTGGAAACTGTCAGAGAAATGAACATTCTGTTTTAACAGCTGAGGATGAGCCAGGAAAGGGATGAATGCAATATTCTAGAAATATGGCTAAAAAAAGTTGCCAATTGGGTACAAGTGGGGACATGACTAATTTGGTTAGCATACACATCAATTGACTACACTGATATAATTATAACTATACAGATAATTATATGTATTTTAGACCAAAGGTTGGGTAGCTAGCACTTCCCCAACCTATTTCCTGGCTACACATAGACAGCCTGTCTTGAACATAACCTACCTGTCCAGCAGTGATGGAGTAAATGAAATACTGCAGAAGAAAACAGGCTTTCACATGCTCCACAGAAAAGTATTCAGTATTTCAAAAGGATGGAGGGTCCCAGGGCAGTTAACCTTTATATATAACAGAGCCAAGTTATCTTATACAACCTAACAACCTCCAGCAATGTTGGAACTGTGATCCTTAGAATTTCCAGTTAGCCCAACCTATTTATGATGTATTTGGTTCTAATTAATACTTTTAAATGGTATCCTTACAAAGCCAGAGCATAAAAAGGAATTGGGAGGGAAAGGTATCAATGGCTATTAACTCCGATTGCATCTGGAATCTCCATCTTCCAAGACAGCATCTCTTTAATGCTGTTAAGAACAAATAACAGAGGAGAACCTTCATACTTGGATTACTACATCTCTCATAGAATTATGCCCTCTTAGAAGACTATCAGCTAACCAGATTTCTCTGGGAAACTTAACAAACTGAATAGGATGGTGACAGCTTCCAATCCTTCTGCACGTACATCTATGTGTTTATTATAGGTATGGCCAACAGACTTCTATGGAATTTAGATTAAATTTGGCATGAACTTTAGTGGCAGCTGGCCTAGACTTGTAATCTCATTGTGCAGAACTATGTGAATGTCTTGGAAAAGGATTTACAAAGCTTAAAATCAGGTTGAAAGGAATCTGCTCCCCAGCCAGACATTTATTTTTTCTACAGAATGTTATCTGCAGGTAGCTCCAAGGTTGACCAGCAGATACGGATGGAAGAACATATTGAGATTAGAGTCTAGACGCCAAGAACCTGTGGTCATGTTTCTTGATAATTAACAAAATTCATACAGCGGTTATCTGGCCTTCCAAGATACAGAACAAAATATTTAAAAAGTGGTGCTACTTTATATTTCTCTATTTATGCAAAGAAAAAAAATCAGTTTTAAGACAATAGAGATAAAGTATTTTTACTTTGCTTTCCATTTTGGTTTAGTGGGAAGATGACCATATGTTTCAGTTTCAGGGCAGATGTTTAATAACAACCTCCTCCTCCTCCTCCTCCTCCTCCTCCTCCTCCTCCTTTCTTCTTTTCTATAACTATTGTATATATACTTTGTAATTCTAATTTAACTTCTCATCCATAATGCTGAGAGATGGACAAAATACATAGTGTGTGCTTCAAGGAGAATCTTTGCTCAGCGGGCATCTGAAGTAGAATGATCAAGTTTCAGATCTAAGACTCTGCCCATTGCCTATTCAAAAGGGTTAGTGGGGTTCCTTTCACATACTACCATCTCCTGCTGATGAAAGGTCCTGTAAGGCATCTAGGCTAAAATGTGCTCCTGACACCATTAATCATCTGATAAAAGCAAGCCTGTACTGAACTATATTAATCACCTCGTTTGAGCCTAGAGGTTTGCCAGCATACCAATATGCACACAACCAAAAATGTGAGAAAATGAGTTCTTACATGATTTGGTAAAAATTTCACACTGCCCAGTTGTTTGTACAAAGGGCTGTCAGATCATTTTTATAAGGCTGTAGACTCTCTCTCTCTCCCTCTCTCCCTCTCTCCCTCTCTCTTCCATGGAAATGATGGATGCTAGGTAAAGTCATGCCCCATTTGGGAGAGAATTAAATTACCTCTTTGTGTGTCCCGAGCTCTACATAGCCACAGATTGGGTGGAAAGCGCCTGTACCACAGACATAAACATGAGTCTTGTTGTAAGGCTGAAGGACTCTGATGAAGTTGGCACATTCTGTCTATTGTGGAAAGAAAGATAAACAATATCGATTATTATTAACATTCAGTGGGTAGTTCAATATGGTACACAATACCAAGGGAAGATACAAAGAATCTGAGAAGTCGCATTTGTCTTCTGATTGCCAGCCTATGAACAGAGTTCATTATTTAAAAATAATCACTGCTTTCACACCACACTTTGAGTTTTTCTGTTGCCTGAATCAATAAAGCATTGCTGTTCTCCCAAGATTTCTGCAAAAAGGAGGCTTACAAGGTGATGGAGAGGATAACAAAAGCCGATGAACCTCTCTGAACAACCACTTGCTTATTGTACACATGAAAGCTCAAACAGTGGACTGGCTTGTGAATTATAACAAGATCAAACTGGACTGGCACAATGCCTTCAGTGAGCCATTGTGTGAGTAAGATGGCCATATGTAGCAATGATGTAACAGGGACAGACAAGAGCAGAAGTGGAGAAAAAAAGATATTAAGCAGTTTTATCTAGGGAGTGTTACAAAAATATCACCCATCAGATGGGCTTTAATGTTTGGATTTAGGAGACCATTTTTTTCATTTCCCATCCTCTCGAATTAAAAGATCTCAGGAGCAGAAGATTTCTGATTGCCCTGTGGGAACTCACCACTGCCTTTAAGTCATCTTCTGCTTAAGTCAGCCTCAAAGGTCTGCAAAAATTGGCTCTTTGCTACCATATTAATTCGGAAGTCTTTTCTTGTTAATGTCCTGTGCTCAAAACTTGTTCAATTCCAACAGAAATCAAAAGGGTTGAGGAAAAGAATATGTCTGTGTTAGTTTCAACTTCTGCTGACTTCAAAGGACTGGTGGTGAACACTGGAAATCTGCCTACTGCACTCTGTAATAAAGGCTGCCCTTTCCACCCCACATCAATGTTTGTCACACTCCAGCATCCAAGCATTTCTGTACGATTATTGTCCTCAAAATCCATCACGTAGCCTCTCCGATGCCTTGCCAGGTCAGAGCACTTATTAGAAATATTTGTTAGAAGGGAAGGCTTCCCTTATAAAAGGGAAGCCTACCTTATCAGAGGCTTGACTCCTATACATTAATCACAGTATGAACATTTCCAAGCAGAGCAGCCTATTCTATCATACCATTGCAGAGTTTTGTTTTTAATAACTTTCATTTGAATTTTGGATGTATGTTGTGCAACAACTCCCTTGCTCTGTAAGAAATATGGGCAGAGATACCAGGATTTTTCGAAACAGAGAAGCTCTTCTTTATTGTCATAACTCTCTGACCTGACCATCCCAGTCTCTTTTCCTTCTCCTTTCTTGACTACAGCCAAGTTGCTCAGAAATGGCAGAGCCATAGATACAAGCTAGAGCAAAAGCACCAGCAAGCTAGCCTGAATTCATTTTCAGGAAATGGCCCTGAACTGCGCATTTAAGTGTCACTGGTCTCAATAGAAATCAAGGTCTTTCAAAAACGTGACTTTAAAAATAGCAAGCCAAAGCTGCAAAGAAGTCATGTAAAAGCTGGGCATGTCTTGGAAGAAAGTCCAGGCAGATGTGTCCATGTAGGGGGTGTGGGTGGAGTGGCTGGAATTGGCTGGATAGTATTTTACCAACAAGACAGAAATCCTGTGATCAGCCTAGAAGGATGGATAATATCAGCTTGGCTTCATAGCTTAGGACATCTCTGTGAAATGCACGGTGCTATTTGGCTGGCAGCCTGCTTGTTCCAAAGGATGTGGTCTAGAAGGGATGCTGAGGCACAACAAGGAAAAGATTGCTGCAACAGTTATCTGGCTGGGTCTGCAAGGGTGAACTAAAACAATGTCCCAACAAGAAAGGGGAGGCTTGCTCGACAGCTGTTCCTGGATCTTGAGTTGATCTGAAGTTTCCTGCAGTTTAGGAATTAAAATGGCACCTGCAGATGTCAGGGAAGGTTCATCTCAACCATCTGCCATGCTATCAGGAAGTAATGGAGAGAGAAAAAACAAGAGAGAAGAGGTGGGCGTAGTTCAGACAGAATGGGAAGAGAGGAGCATTCTGGGAACTGTATCAAAGGAATACATCATAATGAACATTTCTTTACAATGTACTCAACAGCTAGAATGCCCACAAAGGAAAATTTTTCTGCTGGAAAATCATTTTAAGTCATTTATGGTATGGGAGTCTGAGAAAATAACTGATGGTTGATGTTATTGAAGTTGTTTTGCAGTTGCCTTTGAACAGGAACAACATAAGCTGAAAAAAAAAACCATATGCAGGTGACATATGAGAACAAGCAGGTTGCAAGCATTTTCAATTCCACCTCTCTCTCTCTTTCTCTCTCTCCTCCTGGTCATCCTGAAGTGGCCTTTTGCAGCAAATGACATCTTCACAGCATTCCCATTACAACATTCCACTATACTGTAATATCATTAATGATGAAATGAGATTTTTTTAGCAAAAAGAAACAAATATTCAGAAAACCAGAAGGAGACATAAAAGAGAAAGGAGAGTGAAATCAAACACATGAAGTTAAAAAAAAAAGTTTTGATTTCTCTTCACTATGCATTGGCCAGACTGAACCCAAAACATTGTGTCCAATTCTGGACACCACATTTTAGGAAGGACACTGATGAACTGGAGCTTGATCAGAGGTCTCATGATGAAAAGAGTAGAAGTGTTGGGTGTATTTAGGCTGTGAAGACTGCAGGGAGCCATGATAACTTTCTTCAGATGTCTGGAGATCTGTCATGTAGAATGTGGGATAGAATTATTTAAATTTTTTTCCAGAAGACACAACAACAACATGGGTTTAAACCATTAGTTTCTGGTTGGAAATCAAGAAAAAATTCCTATGGTAAAAGCTGTTCAACAGTAAAGCAGACTTCTTCAGGAGGTGATAGCTTCTTGTTGAAGAGAGGCTGGATGGCTATTTTTTTATCTTCCTGGTGATCTCCAAGATTCCTTTCAAGACCTTCACTCTGATTGCATGAAATAATAAATCTTTGAGGGATCAAAGAACACATTCAGGTTGGTGGGCTTCCCATGACAAATGACAATAATGCTTTTTTATCTGATTTCTATTTGCAGTGATTGAGCTGCCATGAGATGGCAGAGTCGGCTAACCCCCTTGGCCAGACCTCCAGCTGAACAACACCTGAATATAACATCTTTTTGTAGGCCCTGTTGGTGTCAGGAGCAAAGAGATTAGAAAAGGCTGAACAATGCAGAAGAAATCTTCAGCACAGCATTAATCCAAACAAAAATGGCCCTTACTTTGACAATGGCAACACTTCTGACTTTATTTGCTGACCTTATTTATTGCTGCAGTAGAAATTAATGTTTCTCCCTTTTGTGGTAAGGACACCCAGCCCTGATGTCAAGTACAGCCAGCAAGCACTTCTATATTATGGTTTGGGGTGGTGCAAACTGGGCTGAGTAAACCATGAGTCAGTTAACCCCTAGAGATGATGTTATGCAAACACCACCATGACCTCAACAGCAGATACTTTGCTAGATAAAATAAAATAGGAGTAACAACTCAAATTCATTTAAAGTCACCTGATTCCACCAATGTACAGATTTTAATCATAAACCTGAAAAAAAGCATTATACTTACATGGGCATCTTTCCCGGCTAGTTTACATAAATCCACTTTTTCCTTTGCTGCGGGCCAAAATATCTGCAATTCATTTAGAAATGGGTCTTAGGATCAGATGATTTTGTTATTCTTGACTTAAATTATATTTATATATTCACTTCTCTATTACATCAGCATCCAAGGACCTCAGTGCAAGCATGATAAATTACTGAACTCCTACCACCCTCTGTGCAGACACAGATCTACATTGAGGAAGGAACTGGCATTAAACTTGACAGGGTCCCTCTTTTCATTTGCCCCCACAGCAGGTTCTGAATCCCATAAATAAATAATAATTTTGCAATGATTTCAGGCAGGGACAAGTACTGTATGAATGATGCATTTGTTTTTAAATGCTGATTGTCACTTTTCAAATACCAAGATTTTCCTGGCTTTCAATATGCTAAAAATCCTGTTAAAGAAGGGAGAATACTTAATGTAAGTATTAAGCACATTCAATAAAATAACATATAAAATCAGCAGCTACATTTAAAATTAAAATTCTGAAATATTAAAAGCCCTGAAAGCATTAAAAATGTCTTTACCCAATGAAGAAGTATCCATTAGTTGAGTGTACTATCTATACCTATATCTCAAAATAGATATAATTGAGGGTAAACAAAATATAATATTGGAATACCTAAAAAAAATTCCAAATTACATTTTGTCTTCCTAGTTTAGTTCAATATCCCCCCCCCCCACATTCCCCATACCCACCCAATTGCCTTGGATTATTATTTTATCCTTCTTCATTTTTATTTTGGGTTTTATTTTCTTTGTTGGGTAGTTTAATTTAGGGTTTTATTTTTGAAGAGGACTAGGTCTAAGCATACAGACAGTTCATACATTAAATTTGCATTTAGATTTTATATCTGCATAAAAGCATGCCTTGAGAATCAGCTGTTGTAAGGACAAAGATAATAAACTCTTGGAATAAACTTTGAGATCAGTTAATGCCACTCACTTATAGCAATACTCATTTGTACATATATACGGCTTTATAGTATAATCACTATGTGGGCCTACTCAGAAGTAAGAAGGGAAAAGTACATTTTGCTGTCGCTAGAAAAGTAGGGAAAGGCCATACCTTGCCAATTTTTTAACTCGCTATTATTTCAATGACATGAATTTTAAATTTTGGCTTTGATTTTAACTGCATCCATTTTATTGTTATGATGTGTATTCTGTGGTTTTTTTAGATTGTTGTAAACTTCCTTGAAAGCTAGTATGAACAGAAGGGCAGGGTTAGGGTTAGGGTAGTAAAAATAAGTCTTAACAGGACTAATCCCAGGTGTCAAGCAAGTAAATAGTTTTACTCGGTGACCATATATATGTATTTGTTTTGTTTTAATTGTTTTATGTTTTTATAATTGTACACCGCCCAAAGTCACTTGTTGAGCTGGGCATCTATAGTAAATAAATAAATAAATAAATAACCCCAGAATGTAACTGTACAACTCAATTCTCTTCCAGTGAGACTTATTGCTTTAATCAGTTCATCACAATGTAGTCCCAGACTTAACTACTCAAAAGGACAATTAAATCTAAAGAAGCTTACTTATATTAAAACAATTCATAAATTAAGGTTTTATAGAATGAAATGAGAGATAGCCTAAAAAATTCCAGAAACAAAGAAGAAAAATATAATTGGGATACAAACAAGCGAGGAGCACAGCATGTGCCATGTTCTTCAACATGGTTCTGGAGTTATTTATTATGGAATAAGCAGTTGTTTTTGTTGTTTGTTTGTTTCAATGCATTTTCCATTCCTTTCCCTATGGCAAGGATGTCCCTAGTCCCTCAGTCCTCTATACCCCTTTTTTGAGAAGTTGAAGGAGCTGTCATGGTGAAGGCTCATTAGGAAAATCCATTTTCAACAATCCAGCTACCCACACCAAAACCTGGATCCAACATGACAGGTTTTTTGGGATGATGTGGGGAGAACCATCATGTTCTTCATCATAAATTACTTAAGAACATACTGGGAGTTAACTGAATCCCACCAAAAGCCTTCTAGGATAGCATCTGCTTCCTGTGTGCATTCTAGAATGCAGCAGTGTAATGTGGCTGCAAAAATTGTCAAATGCAGATTCAGCCTGCATCAACAGAAGTACAATTTCCAAATCACAGGAAGTAATCCATCTACCTTATTCTACTTTAATCAGACCAAACCCAGTTCTAGGCACCACATTTTAAAAAGGATTCAGAAAAACTGGAATACATTCTGAGAAGGGTGAGGATGATCAAGGAATTAGAAACTGAATCTTAAGAAGAGAGATGAAGGAGCTGAATATGTTTAGCCTTTAGAAAGTCAACTAAGTCATCACCCTTTTCAAATACCTGAAAGTATGTCACACAGAAAAAAGTTAAGGCTTGTTCTCTCTTGTTCTAGATTGCAGAACATGGAATAATAGATTTAAATTTTTGGGAGGCTGTTTGACTGTGGGGGGAGGGAGGGAGCCTTTCTAAATGTAAGACAAGTCCAAAAGGGTGGCGGGCTTTCTTCACTAAACTGAAACTAGATGGTCATCTGTCAGGAACAAGTTACGGCTGGACTCAAGAACTCCTTCCAACTCTAGCATTCTGTGATTCCATGATATGAGGCAATGGCTGCTTCCACTCATGTGTCACAGCACATGGCTTTTGACACTAGGAACAATATGTAGCTTAGCCCTCATGATCTATGGCCATTGGTAAGCTTTTTCTCTGTGGAACTCAGATCCAGGATGAACACAATCCTCCAGATGGAAGGAAAAACACCAGGCATTCAATAAATCTAAAGCTAATGAGCAACACGTGATCAGACAGCTGAATATTTTCGTTGTGTTGATTTATGATTACTTTTCAAAAAAAAAGCAGAGAAAGTGAAGGATGGTTCATAATGCCCCTGTTGTGTTAAAAAAAAAATTACTACCATTGTAATAGTTTAAAATATTAATTAAAAGAGGAGATTGCAACTCACAATATATAGAGCAGCTTTTTTCCCCCACACTAAACTGGTACCTTGTCTAAATAGTGATGGATTTAACACTGTCCACATGGGACTGAAGTAGAAGGTGGGATGAAAATGTCAGATGGCTAAATAAGAGGGGGAATGGGAATCAGATGTGGCTTTTTTGTTTTGTTTTAAAGAGAAAGCCATGACTCAGAGATCAAGCTTGACTTTCTTTCCTTAGTGCCAAGATTCTCCAGCTATAGACAGGGGCTGAAATGTGCTTGAATAATTAAGTTACTGTGTCACTTGTATTGATCACTTTTCTTTATCCCTTTTGGCAAGGAATTTCCAGGCAGAATAGCTGGAAATCTTTCAGTACCAATTTTAAGCAGTGATAGGATTTCCATAGAAAAAGCAGGCATGCACAGGGACTCCCTAGGGTAACCTCCTTTCCAGGAGATGAAGCATCCCATTGAGAGATGGGATGAGAGATCTCCATCTTGCCATCCCCAACACGATACTTTAATTGCCTGGGCAAAGAGGAAGTCAGGATGAAAAGCTGGCGTTCAGCTATTATGCTGATCTGGCTCTCTGAGCTAGAGGTAAAGCAAGTGCCAAGGGTCAACAAAGTTAAGGGAACTATCCTCATACTTCCACTTCTTGAGTTGAATTTTTCATGACCATCTTAGCTTACTCCTGTTTCAGCAGGAGATCTGTTGTTTTTATATTTTATGCCTAGTGACTTTGCTCTCCCTTAATGTTATGCATATTGTAGGGCTGTGCAGTGCCTTTCATTCAAAGGCAAAAGGAGCACCACAAGCATGTGCCCACTGAGAGCTTCTCTGCCACTCTACTGCTGCTGGGTGACCCCAGAAAAAGAATGACGCTTTAAGGAGCTGCAGGCAGGTACGAAGTGAAGGGCCTTGTGTGCCCCTTTTTGCTTCCTGGTACACCTGTAGTTACCTGTTAGGAACAAAAGGGTAGTAGACCTTGGGGGTGATGGGTAGTAAGTACACCTGCAGTCAGGTGCAGGGTCGAACTGCACTATGTTCCGACTTGTGGCATTTGTCAAAAAGAAATCTGCATTGTTTGGACACAAATGAAAACTACGCATAGGGCCTCAGTTCAGACATTTTCATTGGTCCTGAAATGAACACTGAAGCATAAATAGGATAAAGGGTCCCAAGGATTTCTTTTCCCTTTTGTACTAACAGAAGAGATGGACATTTCTTCAGATGTTCCTGGCAGATGCTTCTGGCAGTCATCATTTTATTTTCCCAGAATTCCCTAAATGAATTCAGGGAGAATGAAGAGAATGGCTAACGATATTAGAACAATGCATTGTCTGAGATTTTATTATAGAAAATCACATTGCCAATCCAGGAATAGGCACAAATTCCTTTCATTCCTTTAGTTACTGATGGTGGCAAAACATTATAAAGAAAGGGGGGAAATTGATGAACCAAAGTGACATGAATTGCACTGGACATATTGCACTCTTTCAAACTCTTGAATATTCTTGTAGAAGAAAAGCTATGATAGCCAGAAATCAGAAGGCGTCTGGTTAGTACCTTTTCTGACTGACAAATTTCATTAAGAGGCATAAGCGTTCATGAGCTGCAGCTCACAAAAGTTTATGCTTTTTAATAAAATTGCTAGTTAGAAAAGGTGCTACCAGATTCCTTCTGACTTCTAGATAGTCTTCATGACTCATGAATGAATCCAATGGAAAGTATTGTGCTGAGTATGGTGTAAGATGATCTAACAACTGTGAAGTTTAATCTGTGATGCCTACAAATACAAGAAATACATTGATATTACCAACTGATGAGCATGGCTGTACAAACCAATTCCTGACCCAAGCTTCACCTGTCTTTCAAATAACTTAAACATCCAGGAACTGGAAAACCTACTTGTTATTTAGAATAACAATATTCTAAACCACAGCACGTCCCCCTCCTCTAGTTTCACCCTTTCAAGCGGTAGATGGCAGCTTCTGCAGAGGGTGCAGGGGGGACCAAATAACAAAAGCATAAACTCAGTGTTATGATGCAAGCCTCATTCTTTTCATACATGCATTGTGACATTGCATGCATGTACAAAAGGG